TGCTTTCCAGAATTTGGTCTCCATGGATTTTTTAATTTGAGTCACTTCTGTTATTCTTTCAGTATTTTTCCTTTATGAATAATTATTTTCCCCCTTCTATTTTTTTCTTTTCTACACTACTGAAGTCTTCTCTGCATGCAAAAAAGAGGAAAAAACCCTATTCATTTTATTTATGGCTGGAGGATTGCTATGAAATAAGGCACAAAACTGCACTTCAGGTGAAATAGCTACCAACAAGAGCAAGTCACCCTTTCAGACATGTAAGAGTCTTAAAGGAGCAAACATCTTTTGAAGGCAACCTCTTGTTGTCAGTTTTGGTAGGTACATATTAAGAATCATTTCTAAACAGTGGGAAGTGGAATAAAAAAAAATGCTAATCCTCTGATTGCAGAGGATTTGAAGGGCATGACTGATTGCAGAATGGATGCCCCACCCCCTTCTAATCAATGGGACTAGTGACACATTAATTAAGAACACGCATAAGCCTTTGCAAGATGTACATCATGTGCATGTCAGTGCGGGAGACTGTTGCTTCATTGCGGACAGAATTCATTTACTGCAACTTAAACACCAGTTAGAATCTATTAAATGTACTTAACTATCCTGTTGAAAATTTGAAATAAGAGCAATGTGACTAATGAGAATAAAAATTATGAATTCCTATTACTCATTTACTTCATAGGAAGGAGTTCTAGGGAAATAATATTTGAATTGCAAGGCAGAGGTGTTCAGAAAAACTTCCGATTTACATACCATCTTCCCGTTCATGCCGTAAGACATGCCTGCAAACATTGCCTTGTTGCATAACAGCTTGTGGTGGGTTGACCTTGGCTGCCAGCCGGGTGCCCACCCAGCCGCTCTGTCCCTCTCCCTCCTCAGCAGGACACACAGAGAAAACATGATGAAAAGCTCATGGGTCAAGATAAGGACAGGGAGATCACTCAGCAATTGCAGTCAGGGGCAAAACAGACTTGACTTGGGGAAGATTAACTTAATTTATTGCCAATTAATAACAGAGTAAGATAGTCAGAAATAGAAACAAAACCAAAACCACCTTCTCCCCTCCTCCCTCCCCGCCTTCTTCCCAGGCCCAACTTCACTCCTGACTCTTCTACCTCCTCCCTCCACCTTGAGCAGTGCAGGGGGGTGGGAAATGGGGGTTGTGGTCAGTTTGTAACACTTCATCTCTCCCACTCCTTCCTCCTTCATGAACTTCTCCCACTTGGGTCCCCCATGGGCCACAGTTCCTGCCAGAAAACCCTGGTGTGGGGTCCTCCACAGTCTACAGGTGGATATCTGCTCCACTGTGGACCCCCATAGGCTGCAGGGGGACAGCCTGCCTCACCATGGTCTCCACAGGCTGCAGGAGAACCTCTGCTCTGGTGCCTGGAGCACCTTCTCCCCCTCCCTCTTCACTGCCCTAGGTGTCTGCAGGGATGTTTATTTTCCCCTCACTCCTTTCTCAGCTGCTCTGCAGCATTTTTTACCCTTTCTTAAATATCCTGTCACAGCAGTGCTACCAACATTGCTAATCAGCTCAGCTTTGGCCAGTGGCAGGTCCATCTTGGAGACAGCTGGAACTGACTCTGTCCAACATGGGGGCAGCTTCTGGTGTCTTTTCACAGAAGCCACCCATGCAGCCCCCCCAGCTACCAAAACCCACACAAACCCTACACACTTCAAAAGCAAAAGTCTCTACAGTGCTGAAAAGCACATTCTTCTCCTGTGCCCACTGTTCATCTACAACGAACATGTTTTACTTCTTAAAATATGTACTGCATCTGTAATAATTATTGCAATGAAATTCTAAAAAACCCCATCTATTTACTATATACTATTTATAGCGTAATACATATTTCATGCTTCTTAGAACGGTAGTTTTCCTTCACTTTCTGTAGTTTAGATTTTTCCATAATAAATAAATACTTGCATTATAACCAAGTTTCTTCTCCCCCCTTCAATCTTTAGTTTACCTTGGTAGAGTTGCTTAGTTTTAGTGTAAGTCCAGATTCACTGGTTGCTTTCATAGAATCATAGAATTGTTAAGATTGGAAAAGACCCTTAAGGTCATCGAGTCCAACCGTTAACCCAGCACTGCCAAGTCCACTACTAAACCATGTCCTCAAGCACCACGTCTACCCTTCTTTTAAATACCTCCAGGGATGGAGACTCAACCACTTCCCTGGGCAGCCTGTTCCAGTGCCTG